GTGTGTGTGTGTGTGTGTGTGTGTGTGTGTGTGTGTGTGTGTCCCAGCACCTCTCCATCCCGGATCAAAAAAGCACCTGACAGGAGGTTCCTCCTCCGGCAGCCTGACAGTGGGAGGTGTCCTGAGGAGGTGGAGCAGCTGACTCTGCAGGAGGCACCGTTTAAAGGAGCTGAGGAGGAGGAGGAGGAGGAGGAGGGGAYTCAGAGGGTCGGAWCGTGCGCTGCGCCTCGGAACTCGGATTTTAACTGTGACCAGGGTGAAGCATCCCTCCTGCTCCAGAGAAACTTGAAGCCGTGTTCTGTTCTGTTTTGTTTTTGTCGCTCAGAAGGCCAGCCAGGAGTGAAACGCTTGGATCATGTGCGGTAAGAGTGGTTTCTCATGGCTCATTCTCACATTTACAGAAGTTTTATTTGGAGGGATCACGCGCTGCCGTGGATAGATGAAAGCAGAAAGTCGTTTGTAAAATAAATACATAAAAATGTAAAAGAGAGCTCACTTGATGTATAATAAAGGCACGATGAAAATTAAAATAAAAAAAAACTCGACATTGTCTGTGGATTCCGGATGAGCTTTACGCACAAAGCGCTACGTGTCAGCGATTCCACGCCAGTTTAGTTAAGGACAAGGAAGTTCTCCGTGCCAGGTTGGGTTTAAAGTGTCGTTTATCAGCTCCTGATCACTGATTGTGAAGCGCCAATCATTCAGCTCTCTCGCTCCAAGTCAATCTTTAACCCTTCACCAGGACGCAGGCCGAGTTTTGCCGCGCCCTGAACTGTACCCACCTCTGTGGACCGCTGCGACGCTGCGCGCAATGTGCGCCCCGTATATGGCCAGCCGTGTGCCTGCAGGAGCATATACACAGGCAAACACACAGTGCTGTTCACAACACTTTTAGGAAACACACATTACTGCCATCTGCCATCCCCTCCCTTTGTAGCTATAATCTGCAAAAACCGGTTTGTCCACATTTTTGCTCTGGAGATATGCGTTGTAATTGTTAACAGAATATATGTTTTGTCCTAATTTGTAAATCATATCACTATTCCTCTTTTCAGAGAGTTTAAGTCATGTCTCTCTCTCTCTCTCTCTCTCTCTCTCTCTCTCTCTCTCTCT